AAGGGAAGGGAAGGGAAGGGAAGGGAAGGGAAGGGAAGGGAAGACACTGGAGAGTGGGAGCCAGGCACCAGAGGAGCAGGGTCAGGCCTCACCTCCATTGATCCCCATCCCAGCTCTCTGCTGCTCCTGGGCCTCCCTCCTGCACAGGGGCACTCTGCAGGGTCTGACACACAATTATAACTGGGGCCACCCTGTGAACCTCTGGAGGTGTCAGTCAGGTGGGGGAAGGATCACAAGTGATCTGCTCGGGAGCTAGTGAAAAACTGCCAAGTTCTCCAGGCTCACCAGCAACAGCCAGGGAATAATCCAGGGCTCATCCCTCCACTGAGCACTGCAAACATACCCCAAATGTGAGGGCTCCAAACACACTGAAATTCCAATTTCCTACAGTCCCCTGCAAGCCCCTTTGCCAGGCTCTGCCCTGCTGTGGCTGGCACAGACGTGTGCCCATGTCCAGGGTCTGCTGTGCTGCCTGTCAGCCCGGGCTGCTGGGCTGGGCAGTGCTGCTCTGGGGCCAGACTGGCTCCAGGGCGTTACAACAGTCCCAAAAAATGCCAAAACACTGGCAAATGTGAGAGAATGTCCACCTGGAGCCTCTCTTCCCTCTCACGAGAGCACGGTCATAAACATGCACAGGAACATGTGACAGCTGCCCACAGAGAGGAATTATTGTATTAATATATTATTATTATAATTCCTGCTGGAATTATAATAATTATTATAATTATTAAAAATAATAATAATTCCAGGCTGGAACTCAGCCTGGCCAGGCTCCACCTCCAGAACAAGGCAAGAGGCTCTGCTCCTCAAGACGTGGGATGCTCTGCTCCTCAGGATGCAGGATGCTGTGTTCCTCAGCTCTCACAACACCCCACTCTGAGCACAGAGCTGAGGCAGCAGAGCAGGGACCCTGCAAATTCCCCACCTGGCAGTGTGTACTCACTGCTGGGATGGATGCTGGGGGGTGCTGAGGTGAATCATGCAAAGAGCTTCTGTCCTGAACCCAGGAAAACAACCCAACACAGGCAGTAACTCCCACTGAACCTGCCAGCACCCTGCATCTCCCACAGAGGGTGACTCACTGAGCATGAAAAACACAGGCAGCATTCTACAAAGACACACAGAGCAGCAGATGAAGAATCCGTGGGACAGAGCAGCAGATTCCTCTGCCCAAAGCATCCTGAGCAGAGAATTCCACACCAGGTGTCTGGGAGCAGACCAAGGCTCCTGGCAGCACACTGAGGTAACAAACCTGTGGCTGGGGCTCTCCCTGGTGGGGTCACTGGTGTGTCCATGCTCCCCCCAGAGTGACCTCAGCCTGGGCACACCCACTCCCATCTCTGGGCTCATCCCTGGCCATCACTCAGGATTATTTCCTTCACACCTTTCTCCTTTTTCTCACCTCAATCCTTCTCTCCTAAAACGTGCTGGTGGCAGCACCAGAGGCAGCACCCCGGGGGGACCGAGCCAGGGAAGGGGTGAAAAACCCCAGACACAGCACTGGGAAGTGTCACATCCCAACTCTCTGGGGCTGTGTGGGAGAGAGAATGGAAGCCAGGCTGGGGAGAGAAAGCAGGGCACTTACCTGACAGGAGATCTGCACCAGGTACACCAGCTCCTTGGACTCACAGCCATTCCTCGTCACTTCGTTCTGTTCCTCGGGGAGCGAGAGCTGCAGGGAGAGGGGAGAGGAGCAGTCAGTGAGGGCACACAGCAGCCAGAGCAGCACACGGGCTGCACCCACAGCAGCTCCCACACGTGCTGAGCCCCAGGCAATCAATCAGGCAAGGGCTTGTCTGGCTGGAGCTGCCCCAGGGGGACACTCAGCACACACAGACCCTGACATGCCACCGGGTTCTGGAACCTCACCTGACACATTAAAAATAAAAATACGGTTCAAAAATAAAACAGTTACGGGGAGGCAAACGGTTCGAGGCAGGAATTAAACCCTCCAGCTTAGAAGTCTGCAAAATTAATTGTTCACTGAAAATATCTCTATAAATATTCATGGATAGTGAATATAGAACAGAGCTTCTCCATACCCCCTCCCCACATGTTTTTAGTTTTTTATTTTATACATTCAGGCAGACATTAAATAATAAAACATATCTCCCAATTTCAGTGCTGTCAAGCAATTCACCCCAGCAAAGTTTTATGGCACCATTCATCACAGCCAGAGTTATTAAGAGCATCATCAGGATGTGTTTGTGTGAGAGCAGTAAGGAGACATTCCTGCACATGGACTGAGCCTGGAGCATCCCACTCCTGGCCCTGTTAACCCACTAAAATGGCTAATGTTTAATGATCTTCTCTGGGAGCAGAAATTACAAATAATCCTAAGTAAGTTAAGACTGTTTGCAAAGCAAATAAATAAAGGAAATGTGTACATAAAATTTAAAAGGCTGTAAAAAAATCCTAATTAGTCAAGAGCAATAAAAAAATCCTGAACCAAATGAAAGCAGAAATGAAAAAAAGGCTGAGGAGAAGAATCCCAAGTTGCTGTATGTAATGGATGTAAGCAAGTGAAAATCAGAAGTGCGTAGTGAGAGACATCTCACAAAAAAGGGACAAAGAAGGCAAAGTTCTCTCCATACAAATGACCATGACACCTGGAATGTGTTTAACTTTGCTCTGCCAGAATCTCCCTTCTCTCTGTAGGGAAGTCCCACTGCACATGGATTCAGCCCTCTCCCTCCACCAACCCAGCTCCTGGGATTCTGACTTCTCTCCTGATGGCTGTACACAGGTAAGTAACAACATCCCTGGTCCAGAGAAGGTCTTTCGATTTGTACAATTTATTACCAGCATAGGCTGCTGCCATTAATGTGATGAAACTCAACCATTGCTTCTGTAGTGCACTTTCCCCCCATCTTTATCATCACTCTTTGCTATCAAATGTCACATCTGAAGTGCTATTGAGTTGTGAAACGATAGCCAAAGGAAACCCAAGGAATGCAGTAAAGGAAGGCTCGCACACACTGTAGGTATTTGCCATGTTTGCCAGGTATGAGGAGCTCTGGGTCAAAGAGGCCACAAAGATGATCCAAAGACTGGAGCAGCCCTTCTGTAAGAAAAGGCTGAGAGAACTGAAAGTGCTCCCCTGGAGAGGAGAAGGCTCCAGGG